ATTAATATCTGGATTTTGAATGGGTATTAAACGCTCTAGATCCCTGTCTCTCGCTGCCATTTCTTTCTTTCTGTTTTTCAGCTTTTCTTTTGGTAATTCTCCTTTCTCTCTTGCAAGCTGGGAATTCCAACGAATGCGTCCTCTCTCTAACGAACCTGCATCGACACGCGGGCGTTTTAACTGTCTCAAAACAAACAAGTGCTCGCTGCATAATGGGCTTCAGATGTAACGTGCTCTCCCTGTACAAAGGCCCAACGAGTTTGAATATCTTCCTGCTGTGCCTTTCGTCCCAAAACGTTATGGCAATGAATTGTGATGAGGCCTCGGAATAAAGAGAAGCCCAACTAGGCCCGAAAAAAAGGAGAAGACCAAAAAAGAGAGGGAAAAAAATATTAATCCAGCCGGGCTCGAGAAAGAAAAAGGTAAAGAAAGAAAACAACGGAATGGGGTCCAACCGGACCCAATATTTTGGCCCACTTGAGCCCATTATTTTTTACCTGACTTGACCTAAAAGAAATGAAAGAAAGGGAAGAAAAGAGGGCTAGCATAGGTAAGGAAGGCAAACTTGGCACGAAAGCCAAGGAAAATAGAGAGAGAAAGGAAATAAAAGGGAGAGAAAATAAAAATAGATTGCTAAAACACCTTTAGATATTTATATATCTATCCAAAAAGTAGAGCTGACTTAGGAAGAAAAGGAAAATTTAGCATGAAAGTTGGGGAGAATATAAAGAAAGGAAATAGAAGGGAGAGAAGAAAAATAGACTACCAAAGTATCATTAGAGATCTATTATTGACACGTGTCTACCCAAGAAGTAGGGCTGGTGTAGGAAGAAAAGGAAACTTCGCATTAAAGACACAAAAGAAAAGGAAAAAAGAAGAATAGATCGTTGGAGATCTACCATTGACGTGTCCTACCTAAGAGATAGGCCTCACAAAGATAAATCTAACAACATAAAAAAACCTGGCATTTAACAAACATAAAAATAGACCATCAAAGATCCATCGTTGACATGTCTTGTAAATTGTGGTGGGTGGCTTAAATCAAACAATACAACAATCTTATTAATATATTGGCACATGTAATCTACATGCCAAACAATTTTCCTTCATCATTTTTATTTTAGTCACTAATTCTTTAATATTTTTTCAATTCAACCTAATTAAGACCAATGAAGGCCCACCCACAGAGAGAAGAGTTTAAAAGGACAAGAAAAAAAAAAAATGCTTAACTGACCCAAGCATAGCCTAATTGAACCTAACAACAGAAAGAAAAGGAGAAGGAAAAAGAAAAGGAAAGGGAGAAAAAAATTGTCTTGCTAAACAATATTTGAGCTTGCTTTTATCGCAATAACCACTTATCATTATTCTTTGTTTTATGCGATGCCAACGTAATTCTCTATTTTACAAGCTACTTCAATGGGCACATAAATTGTCAGTATCATGCCTACTTGAAGGTTCTATTTTAAAAATGGATATTCTGGCACCTATATGAATAACTTGTTTTCCAAGTTACCTACATGATAAAAGTAATTATTCTACATGATAAAAATGGATATTCTGGCACCCACATGAATAACTTGTTTACATGATTACTCTCTCACACTAGGTATATTAATCTACTTTCCATAAGGCAATTTCATGTGACTTGCGATGTATAAATAATTAAGGTTACCAAGTAATAATACATGATAAAATAATAAACACAATAAGAACATACTTTCTCCTACATTATCATTCTTTTTTTTTTTATATATTCCTTTCCTCCTATAAATTTGCTAGCTTAAACATGAGAGAGTCTCATGTACTAAATAAAATATTTTTTTACAGGATTTTATAAGTCACTAGCCTATTCTAATTTTAAAAAATTAAAATAAAAATAAAAATAAATCTAGAGCCAATAGCACCAATTGTAAAGAGACTTAACTTTAATTTAAAGGTTTTTCTTTTTTTTTTTAACATGCTCATTTTTTTTTAACACGCTTATCCTTTCCATTAGAAATAACGTATCTATCAACAACATGCTCAATCTCCCTTATAATGAGACCAATCTTAGAGTTAGAAAAAGATATGGAAATTTGCTTTACAACTTTTATCGAAAGTATAAGAACATTAACTTTAACCCATTACTTCTAAAATTCTCCTCAAACACATATGAGATATATCTTTCTCAATGTGCTTCATCAAAAATCACCTCTAAAACAACATCTAATTTAGTTTTCTTTTCATGAACATCACAAACCAAAAATTTTGCATGTAAATCTTCTCCATCAACATCATTTTAATCATCCTCGTTGAATTTTTATGGTTAATTTTAATCCATAAAGAAACTAGAATTATCAAAACTTTTAGTGTCTACATCATATTTATCATGATCAAGAAGTTGTCTTATCTGCTCATGCCTCGGATATGGGTTCTTAAAATTATTCATGGATTTGTGATCACTTTTCTAATGATCCTTCACCTTCACTAGTTGATGGGTTAATTTCTAAAATGTCTTTACATGTTTTCTATCTTTAGTTCTTAAACATCTCTTCTCAATGCTTTAATTTATCTATGCATGTCTTTTATCACTAGTTTCTAAATATCTCTTTCTTAATGAAGAACCTCCCCATCCTCTTCTATATGAGCATGTTATGTTCTATTACCTCTTATAGTCATGATTATTCCAGCACACAACAAGCAAATAACCACTAAAATCGTTGGGCTTTAATACCAACTAACACAAATGAAAACATACAAGAAGATTATCTAGAAAAACAAAATTAAAGCCAAATAAGATTGTCTTACAAAAACATAATTCATTTTTTTATTTATAAAAATAAAAGTTTGATATATTGTTTTAAAGCTCAAGCTAAACAATCATATTTATACTAGTCTTAGGGCTACCTTGAAAAGGAAAACAATCTTAATCAATAATTATAGATTTATTTTAAGGATTCCTAAACTTAAGAGAAAAAACATAAAATCGCTAATCATAAGTTTGATGTTTTTTTTTGGTCCTTTAATTATTATTTCTTTTATTTTTAGCTAATTTCAACAATATATTAGTTCTTCGAATAACATCAATTAATTACAAAATTATTTATCCATACATCTATTTTCTGGTTCAAGAGTGTGATATATCTAAAAACATAATCATATTAAGTATGATTAAAATTATAACTTATGATAAACAAGTAAATAAGGTAACTATTCGTGTGCATTAATGTAATTCCCATATCATTAAATGAAATATAATATCTTTAATAATTCAATAATTTCATCAATTTTTAATATAACATCTGAGTATAAATAAATTTATAAAAATACCAAAAGTGTCTCTAACAAACTCAAGTATTTAACTTCAATTTAAATCAATTAAATTTTTTAATTATCCAATACAACAGATATTTATTCCATTAACTAGGGATTTAATTTTCTTAACTTGCCTATTCATCAAGAAATTATTTTCCTTAACCTACCATCTCCGTGCACCATATCATGCCAAGCCATTCAATTTTTAGGCCACAACACCTAAATATGACTTAATTTCTACAACTTCATTTTATTTTTCTTTTACTATGCATGCCCCCCCCCCCATTTACTACTAATTTAAATACTAGAAAATTTTATATTCAAACAAACCCAAATGACATTTGGAAAAGTCATTCACTATATAAAAGGTACACTAGATAATGTATATATAAATATTTGTAAATCAACTAGAACTATTTGATTTAGTGGCTATTTGTTTATGCAAAAACTTTTTCTTTTAAAGCAAGTGACACAAATAATATATTTGGTAATGCTAAAACTCACTTTATTGTTGGTGTGAGACCTATATATAATGTGTCTTAACCGTAGATTTGTGGAAAGTAGCTGCGAGCTGCTTCTTCACATCTTGCGAGCTGTAGAGATTGTCTCCATTGTTCACTTGAATAGTGGAAAGTGTCTCCACCTCCACTAGTTCGGCTAGACCGGATCCGGTCCAAAGCTAAATATATTGAACCAGGTCCGATCCAGGTCAAAAAATCAATTTTTATTTTTAATTGTGTTTTATTGAAAAAATTAGAAAGAGATAACTTGATGACGTAATATTTGCAGAATTTAATCGCAATCTCAATATTATTCCTGATGATATTTTACTTAATGTTATTGCGCGCTTAGAAACCAAGAAAACTATAGTCCTTGTAGGATGAATTTTGTACATGATGGAATTGTAGATAATTTAATGGAATAATAAAAAATATTTTATATAAGTATTATTTATTTCATGATGTAATAACAGTAGTTAAATCTACAATATTTAAATTAAAAACCATCAACATACACACACACTTCAATTTGAAAAGTATTCTTTTAACCAAACGCATTAAATTATTTTTTGTTCAACTTTAATTTCAACCATAATTTTAACTAAATATATATAAATATAAAATCAACTTCAATCAAAAATATTTTTTATAAAATATTTTTTTTAAAATTATAACCATAAAAACGACCACAATATTAAACACACTTTTATTAGTGGTTGACATTGGTTCATCACATTTTTAAATTAGTCCTTTAACTAATATCTTATTCATTTCTGATTTATTTTTTTCATTTTAAAAACAATGAATGTTGGAGAAAAAAACTAATATTAAGCTGTTCAAATAACAACTTCATTATTTTTTAATACCACAAAAGTTAATTAATTATTTCCAATGAACTGCAAGAGTTATCAATTAATTAATTTCAGTGAAATATAAGAATTAAGTAATAACGAATTCAAAAAAATGCACGGCACGACATAGAGTGATAGTACAAATCAATCATTTAATAATTAATTTCAATATTTTTTTTTATTTGAGTGCTGATGCTTCTTCTTTTTTAATCAGATTAGTTGATGACATGTTGAAAAATAAATCGGATATAACAACACTTTATTGAAAATAAAAAGTAAAGATATAAATATACTCAAAATAACAAGAAATAATATGGCATGGAGGGATCAAGATTCTATATCCCGAATGGAGAAATTGAAGGTAAAGTGAAACTGATCGTAGTGTGGATTCATAAGCTGTAGTCCCCTGCTGAGAAATCCCACTTCTTACAATATTCTAATGCAAAATGTAGCTAAGATTGGTGACAAAGATTTTCGAACCCCATGTACTCTTCGTTCTCCAGCTTCTCAACCATGTTTGCTATTCCAACTCCACCTGCAGCAAATAGTAGCCGTGAAAATGAGTATCAGGAGATAAAGAAATGAACTAGGGTTTTGTCTAGATCTTGAGATGAAGGGGAGACTTGAGCACCTAAGCTGACTGCGCTCACAAAAATTGTCAAAGCCAGTATGAAAATAATTAATGACGCTCTTCCAAGAAAAGCAATTATCTTTCTAACCACATGCTGTCCAACAAGGGCAGAAATCGTTGCAACTAAAGCAAAGTAAGCAGCTGCAGCAAAGAAGCAGAAAAAGAAATACAGAAGGTTAGCTTGAATGATTGGTGATAACTATTACAGATGTAAGCAAAATGATTTGGAGTTGATATCTATGTGCATTGCTTGCTGCTACATACCATATGGGACAGGGAAACGGTTGAGGAGGTAATACTCTACGACTGACATTGAAGATGAGAATGCCATTGCAAAGGTTGATGTTGCACTTGCTACCTGCAGAAAGGAACAAAGAACTGACGGATTTTGAGGCTCGTGAATGATCACTTCAATGGTGCATAGCAGGGGGGATTGCAACAAAATTTAACATCTTGGTTTGACTACTGATGCTTTTGTGTTTCAAGAAGCTCGTGCCTGTTTCTTACCAGTACCTTTCTTGTATTCTGGATTTTTAGTGATATTGTAGATGCATGAAAGCAGTTAAGTACTTTACCTGAGGAGGAATTCCTAATTCGAGGAAAAGAGGTCCCAAGATGAAGCCGCCTCCTAGACCAAGCAGTCCACCCACCATTCCAGCAATTATTCCACACGAACAGTACAGTAGAATCTGATGTAACTTCCAATTTGTGATTTCCTTCCCTTTGGATGCTATCACTCTGGTCCCTTTGCACAAGCATATGGCTTCGAAAAGCGTAACTGAGGCAGCAATTGGTACCTGTATGATGTGAAACTATCTGGTTCAACTGTTTCTATTCCCAGAAACACAACAGCATAGTATGTTTTCGACAGGGGCTCCTCAAGCTTCTCCAGCAGAGCCAGAAAATTTTAAATGAAAAAGCAAATTATAAATATTATATATTATATATTATATATACATGTATTATATATAAATAAATCAATTTAAAATATATGTGCTAACTCATGTCAAGTAAAATTAATTTAAGAATATTTTTAAAATAAAAAAAACTTACATTATAATGATTTTTTTTGAGTTTTTATATTTTAAAATTGCTTAATAATAACTTCATTATTAATTTCATTAAAGATATTTTTTCTCAATATATAAAATAAAAATTTCATTCATATATTTCTAAATCTTCTAGGGATTAGTGAAATTATTGGCAAAAATTCTTTGTTAATTTGTTGTTTTATATAAGTGGGTTAAATATAAATATTAATATATTTTTTTAATTTTTTTTATTGTATCCCTATTTTTTTAGTTGTTTAGTACTTTATTTTTAATCACTAGTATATTAATCATCATCATTTTTCATATAAAATTCATAACAAAATACATATTAATTCATTAAAACTCATTTCAATTCGTATTTATATGTATATAATATTATACATACACATATTAATTTAATAAATCCATAAATTATCATATTATTAAGGAATATAACTAAAATTAAATAATGAAATAAATAGAAAAAATAAAAGAAACTTACCTAAAATATTAAGTATAAAGTATAAAAGATTACTTAACAATTTAATAGTTTAGAATTTTAAAAAAAAATTATAGAAGAAAAAGAGGTATAAACAATAATTAAAAAAAAATTAAAAGCTTGTAAAATTAAGGGGGCAGGTGCCCCCTTAATCCCCCTTGTGGCTCCGCCACTGGCCCGCCCCCATGATGAGCTGCCAGCAAAGTATAGCTATAGAGGATTGTTTCCAGAATTCGTGTGCAGATATGCGTCTCCACATTATATGGAAATCAATTAAAGATAGCATATTAGCAGGAGGGTTGCAATATTTCCAATCCATTTTATTTTATGAATTATAGATAGATGGATTCTTGGTTCTCCTTGAATTGCCTATAGGCTCAAAGTAAGAAGCTAAATCTAGATTTTGATTTGTTGTGGCCTTACAGACTGGGATTACTAGGTTTGCAGGTCATTTAAGCTAAAAATTATGTTTCGATCATTGCGTCAGTGCTTGTTTACGAATGTCGAAGGTGATTCTGTGAAAGAAATTATCCATATTTTCATTTTACCTGCAATGAGTTCAGGATCCAGTACGTGACTGAGCAGGTTGGAACATTTGTCTGCATAGAGATACATAAAGATAACATATTCAATAACTATGAGGCAATTTCGTTATGATGCTCAAAAATTCAACTTGCAAACAGGTTAGAAGGTCAGATCCTCATCTGCATGATTCTTTTCTTTTTAGAAATCTTCACTGAATAGGTTTTTTCCAAGTCTCAACAGTGTCCCGGCACCACAGAATAATAACTAGATGAGACTTTTCCAAGGCCTGGTAAAGACTAATCGACTTATGCTATCAGAGCTTACCTGAACAATTTGAACAACAAGAAATCCCGCCCAGACATAGAAAAGCAGTGCCACCTCTTTCCAGTAAATGTTTTCTCGTAAAGGGACCTGATTATGACAACGAAAGAAGAATACATTTGAAATTTAGACTTTTGGAAACAGCATTTACATTACAAATGAGGAGCATTCTCGATCTCACCTCATCGTCTGGTAAAACAACTGGACCACTTGGAAGTGGTTTGTAATCTTCTTCGGCGCCATCTGCAAATGATCAATTTTAACAGAAACCCTTTTTCAGTGTACCTCTCTCCAGAAACTTTTTTCCTGAGTAGAATCCAGAGATTTACTGGCCTGCTGTTATACTGTTCTTGAAGAAGGATTTTGAGCTTTTCTATAGAATGGATACAAGATTCTTTAAGTTTAATGATAACCTCTGCTGCATACTTCCGGTTGAAATTGCCCTTTTTTGGACAATAGGCTGTTCGTCGAATAATAAATTGGCATATAATACATATATTGGATCAAAAAAATCTTAAATGTTTTTCAGATCCTTGAATACAAGGTTGATACTTCTATAAGTTGATCGCTTATGTTTCAATGTATAATGACTCTGATTGACTTTCAACAATTGACATTACCTTATGCGTCATTTAATTTTTCCAAGGCTAGTATCTTTCCACCAGCTTAGACTTTACATATAAATTTCCCATTGAAAATTAATCTTACTTTAATGAATTCGATGAACTAAACATCTTAATCTTTTGATTTGAATTTTTTCATGGGGGGAAAACACAGGCACTAACCTTCTGGTTTGGACTCTGATTCCAACTGCTTGGCTACATCCTAAGTGTTAACGAGAATCCAAAATATATTACGCCAGAAAAAAAGAAAAAAAAAGAAAAGGAAAGGCCATGATAATCTCAGGAATTAGCAAGTAGAAAACCTTACCTTCTTTATCATAGTCTCTTTCTTCCATGTATCTATCCCTTTGAATAAAGCTTTAGTAGAAGTACCTGCCATTGACAATTTTTATGGTGGCTCGCATCAGTTTCTTTTATCAGAAGAAATATACATCATCTTTTTAACAGGGAAATTTCATTCTTTTTAATGCATGATTTAGTTTCAGTAATCAAGAATTAACAGCATTGAATTGCAAATGGAATGGTCATGCATTCTAAGCTGTGTTCTAATTCCTCTTTCTGCAATGTAAACTATCATGGAAATGCATGATGTGAAACATTTCCGTATTTGTTTTACCTATGAAGAGAATAATAAGCAGAACTGTGACCATCCAATCAGCAAACATGACATTGAAGGCAACTCCAACGCTGATTCCAAGCATGAGCATAGGCTGAAAGAGCAAAGCCAGGTCATAGTCTATTATGGGCATTTCCAGTGTTGGGTGCCTAAGTCTCAGGTTGTAATATACAGTTGCTCCTGATGCACCCATGATCATACCTACATTCAGAAAGCCAGGATTATTAACGTATTTATTGAGCACTGACAGAGTTAGAAATAGCAGTTGTCTATATACTTACACTTGGAAATGGCAGTGGAAGATTTCGGATCGAAACCAATGATCAAGGTGAGCATCGGTACAAATATCCCACCACCTCCAACTCCTCCAACACTACCCAAAGCTGCCCCAAGGAATCCTACTGCTGTTCCTACAACAATTCTCCAATCAAACTTCATAACCTGCTCAACCAAAAATTTACTGTCAAAACAAAGCATGGCATATAGAATATGATAATAGTGGTTAACAAAAGTAACAATCTAACGATAACTCACAGGCCAAACAGGCTCATAAGAAGACTTTCCACCTTGAAATAAAAAATGAAGAACTTTTACTATATAACCATGGCTCATTTCTTTCTCAGCCGAGGCTTCTGGTTCTTTATCTTTCAACATTCTCTCTGCACTGACCATATTGGCCATCAAGACTTGAACCAGAAATATCATACATGCTAGCACTGCTGTAGTTGCTAAAGCTCTCTGGTTCAGCTTAATTTTAGCCATCTAGGATTGTCTAAGAATGAGGAAACCTGAAGAAAGAAAGTGTTTATGACTCAATCTCAACAAGTTTTGTGCTGTAAATTTGGCTACTAATTTCTCATATGCTTCTCTGTGTGAGTACAGCAATACACAGGTGAGGAAACTTTGAAACAAATGAAGAGTGCACCTCTTCAGCACCTACTTATATACTCTTCTTCGTTGTCCTCTCTGTGGTCCAGATTCCTTTTTCCAATTTTGCTTTATATTATTAAAATGATTTCAGCATTTTATTCATTTCCCTTCTTTCACCTTACTTTAGTAAACCTATTTATTAAAATTCCCAGAAGGGAGAAACGTAAATCCCAGTTTGTATTATCATTGAAATTTATCATACCACTTTTGGCCTATTTCATGATTTAACTTCAATCAGTGGCAGGATTCCTTTTTCAAATTACCAGTACCAGATAAAACATGATGTGAAAACAAGAAAGAAAACTTCATGATGGATCCAATCCTGCGGGTCGAATCAATTGTCATAACATTTTACATTCATCAAATGGTGTGTAATTCTCGGCGCAATTATTCATAACACAAAGTTCAACTAATATAAAATTACTCAGAAGGTCAAAATCAAGGATTGATTTATTTGCATCACCGACATTTTGCTGTCTTTGCAAGTTCGTGGAAGCTGAGGTTAAAACATAGGTTGATATTTGAGCTCCAAACTCAAAGGGGTTATAACAGTGCTCATGCCCCCTTAATCAGTGCAAGTATTCTAATCTCTCGTGATGTATCACTTCCATGACAAGTGAATTTGTGTTGGATTTGAAAACTGTTACTCTGTAACCTTATGCAAACCACATCTTCTTCGTTCTTGCCTCTAACACCATAGAATTAAATATGAACAGGAAAGAAAAAACAAGTTAACGGCATTCCTGTGAAACTTCTCAGAAACAACAAAGCAGTACGGAACTTTTGAGCACTAGAGTAAGTAGGTAGCGAAAACAAAAGGACTAAATTAAGTTAGTCGCAGCAGTCAGCAAGGACAACATGCCTAAGAAGCTTCATATCTCATGAATGTTTCTGGGGCTTTTCTTTCACGAATTTTGATCCCTTCCACTTCCAAACAAAATCATCGAACGTCTCTGTTTCTCATGTTGATATTTTCCTGCTCATTAATAGGTTGTCTATTAAATTCCCATTATTGGATCCAAATGTGGTTTTGTCATGCAAATTTAGCAGCTAGGAACTAGACTATTCATATAAGGGTACTTGCTAGCCAATTTGTTTCCATAAGCATATTTTTCTTGAGACCATTACGAATAACCTAAAGTCGTAGGAAAACGTTCTTTGTCTACGTACAATATTATGGATTAAAATAATTTTTTTATATAATTTTATTCTTTCGCGCATTATGTTAATTAAAACTTGGAATTAAAGATTCATTTTGATTTGATATTTCTATGGTTATGTGGTCTCAAAAACTATCTTGCTAATGAATTGATGCTTAATTTCATAAACAAAACTTGATTTTATTGTTAGAAAAAGATTGAAAAAAAAGACCAAAATTAAAACTAAGAAAATAGGAGTTCTTTCATTGAAAAAAAAAAATATTTGGTATCAGCACCTTTTCTCTTATTTTTGGTTTTGAATTTTTCCAAAAACTCTTTGGTCCCCTTAGTTTGGTAATTAAATGGTTTAGTGCAAAATTTTATTTTCTAGACATTTTAGTTCCAAGGTTTAAAAGAAGAAGTCATCGAAAAATAGTGAAAAAAAAATGTCAATTGATTCAATTTCATTGACAAAAATAATCAAATTTGGTGTAAAAGGTGTTAGTGAATATGTTTTACAATCAATTGGTTAATTACATGTTTATTTATATAAAATATATTTATTATTAATAAAAAAAATTTAAGTGAAAATTATATTTTAAGAAAAGACAAGAAAACAAAAAGGCATAGCAAATTTTTTTACACAACTATAATGGTTAGAAATTGAACTTGTAGGCAATACATCATTTGCTCCTTTAAAGAGAAAACAATACATGGACAATAAATTATCTATCCATTTAGATAATTTAAAAAAAATCCAAGCACATAGGCTTGTGTTGCTTAGGCTCATACACGGAGCTTCACATTCGTTGGGTCAGGCATGCTAGGCCTTCTAACGCCACAAATCAGCCCATTCTTGCCTTTTTGTTTAATTCTTTTCTCCATTATATGTTTATTTAATTTAAGATTAAAAAATCAATGTATATTAGATATATTGCTTTATTACTTTCTTCACTGAAATATATTTGAGTTATTGTGTTCTTAAATGCTATTAATTTTTTTGTTTATTTAAAAAAAAACAACAGATTAAACAAAAAAAATTGGGTGACTTTTCAAGGAATATCTAACTTTATTATTATATAATTAAATAAGAAATGATTTATTAAAAAAATTAAAGTAATTAAATCAAGTTAAGTTTATGATCTAACATAAATTAACTTAAATTAATTCGAGATATGATGGTTTCAATATTTTAAAAAATAAAAGAAAAGTGCATTTTAATATTTTATTAATTATTTTCACTACTTAAAAAAAATGTTACCAACAGTATATGCACATTTCTTTCATCTAAATTTAATGACGCTTCTAACAAAACTTTTCGGGCGTTGAAATGCAACTCTCAATGTAACCCATCTAGTACTGCATTAATTTTTTTAAAATATAAAAAATTATTAAGAATATCATAAATATTTTGAATCTATCATCTACATTATATCTTTATTTCAATTTCAGATTCAAAAAAACTTAGGTCAAAAGACTTAACCAGATTTAATAGCCTTGAGTAAGATGATCATGTCTTAACTAATACATGCTAACAATTTTTGGAATAAAATAATAGAAAAGACACCCCCTTATAGTTATTTGAGCATCTACATTGTAAATATTTTATGTTTACAATGTGATCTATAATGCAAATTCTTTATCCCTCTCTACCATGTTAAACCCAATAGTCTTGGATTAGGCGGTCTTACCTTAACACAACACACGCTAGCAGCTTTTGAAATAAAAAATAGAAAAGACAACGCTCTTCATGATCCTCTAAGCATTTATAGTATAATGTGATGATTTTTTATCATAGTTATCATACTCAACTCGAAGTTTGACTCGGCCACGAAATTGAGTCTCGGGTTATACGGGTTGACTCAAATTAACCTGAAAAATTAAAAAAATATTTGAGATTTTAATATTTCATATGAAAAAATTTAAAAAAAAAAACAATCCATATGAATATATATCATTCATATTATAATGAAGTTTAAAAGATTATTTCAAAAAAAAAAATTATCTCACATTAAAAAGATATTATGTAAGTATGTTATCCTTTAAATTAAAGTATTTAAATATAAAAGGTTTTTTATCCTACATTAAAAATATAAAATATTCTTCTAGTATTTATACAGTGAACTTTAAAAAAGGTTAATAATCAACTAAAAAATATATATAAAAAAGGGTCACTAGCTAAGAGAAAAAAACACATTTAAAAAAAAAAAGTCTTAACCTATTTTTTCCAGGTTGCCCGGGTCACAAGTCAATTTAGAGGGTTTTGTTGGGCTTTTGCTTATCCTGATTTTTTGCCTAATCCAGATCGGTCTAACCACTAGGTTAACTCACCGAGTTGATCCAGGTTTAATAATTGTGGTTTTGATGGTTAGTAAAAGTAACATATCAACATAATACTACTAGATAGATTGTCCGTATTACACCGTACACTAGTCTATTTTTTTATAACAAAAGAATTGAGATCCAGGTCATTGACTTGATTAAGTTTAATAATATTGTATAATTTTGATCACATGAAATAAAAAATACATGGAAAATAAAATAAGTTGACAAAAAAAATTGATAATGAAAAAAAAAATAAAAAAATGATCAAAGCTTAACTAGGTTAGTATGTCAAATCTATGATTTAGTTGTGATAAAAGGGCAACACCATTAAAAGTAAATAAAATAATAATGCTCAATTATTAAACAATTCAATGTCAAAAAACATAATTCAAAAAATATCTAAATCAATCTGGGTTAATTTGTTAATCTTGCAACCATGGATATATGATTGAGATAATCCTTTAGATAGGAAAAAAAAAATGAAGACTAATTTCTAATAAATCAAGCATTAAAGGATGAGATTGGAAAAGAAAATTAGAAAGAACTTAAAAAAAAAAGTGAAGTCAACCTGTGTTAATATTTGAAATTTTTGACATTTGCTTTGAGCCCAGAACTCAATAAAA